TATAGCATTGTTTCAACTACCTTTGTTAATTGACTAAACCTAATCAATCTCAAAGCTAGATAGTATCATTACTGACCAAGGTGCATCTACTGAAAAGCAAAATAAATTAAAAATTTGAAAAAAAATAGGTTCTTTTGTAGTGCAAAGTCATGGCATTAGAAAATAATAACTTCTCTGGAATGTCCTCACAAAGATACAAATTTCCTACTACAGATTAAGCAGAGTAGAAGTGGATTTGACAATGAAATTAACAAAATACAGTTCTAAAATTTTTAATGATTTAAACACATATTAAAACAAAATAATTAGAAGTATTTTAAAAGTTGTATGTGGAAACCTATCATATAAGTGGTTTTCAAAGATCCTGGGTGGGTACATGTATCACTAGGGGGTGTGGGTGGGGATGTCAAATATATTCTCCAGTTCCCATACCCAGGGGCAATTCTGATACACAGGATATAGAAAAATTGTGGTGTGGCATGGAGAAACATTTTCAAAAATAATTCTGATCCATATCCTTTGTCCCCTCCCAGGTTGAGAACCAAGACCATGAAGACCATACGTTTTGAAATTAAGTACAGTTAGGTACATCCCCATCACAACCATACAAGGTCTGTAACCTAGTTCATGCTGGTTAAATTTGATTAGCCTGATTTTCTTCAGGTGTAAAATGGCCATTGCAATACCTACCTCAGAGAATTGTTGACATAAACAATTATAGTTAGTTTTAACTAACATTTTTTGAGTGTTTATCATCCACCAATCACTGTTCTAAAGCAGTTCACATATATACAGTTAGGATTCTGTGAGCTAATGAATATTAAAATACCTAGTAGCAGGTCTGGCATATGGTAGGCACTAAGTTGTTACTTTGTTTTCCTCTCAAGTACTATACAAATATGTACTATAAATAAAGAACAAATACAAATAAAGCTAAATAAGACAAAGAAGCTACCCTTATGAACACATATACTAGAGGTTAGACAGACCTATGAATTATCTAAAGACACCAACATGTAGTAAGTGCTATCACAGTGATCAAGACCAAAGACAGAAGAGAGGAGGAAATGATCAGATAATGGTACTCCTATGAACCACTTCTGTTTCTTCTTCTTCTGTCTTTCCTATTTCCTCATCTCTTCCTGTCTTCCATCTATTATCTCAATAAATATCCAAAGTTATGAGTGAATGCAAATTTACTGTGGAAAATGAAGGAACATTCCATTTCTATTCCCCTTCTTTCCCAGATCAAGCTATCATTCCAAAGCTGCTATAAATTGGCATAAGCAGGATAAGGTTTAGTTCATTTTGTCTTTCTTAAATTTAGTATTTTATTGCTCTGTACTATATCATGGGTGAAAATTATACCAGGAGATTGTATATTTGAGCTAACAGAAGCCTTGGTGCATTGTGGTGTGGGACATCTCTTTTCATGGATGGAATTAGTATCTCCTATGATTGCCATAAACTTGTCAGCAAATGAAAACAACAACCAAGAAAATCCTCTAAAAACCTCCAGACAAACTTGTGCTTATATCAGTGATCTTCCTCCTGTGACTCTAGTGTTAAATGTTTCTTTTGGGGCATCTTACACAGTTTTCTTGCTATCTACATGTTTACAGAAAGCCTAATGTCATGCAGCATAACACAGCTGTTCATCTTTACATCAATAAGGCATGAATAAAGGAGGGAAAGAAGATTCCAACATTCATTTAACACCTCAAATGTCCTAGATAACAAATTTAATGTGATCTCCTACAATATTATGTTTAATCTTCTCAACTATCCTTAAAATTTTGGTGTGTGTCAATGAGCAAGACAAATTTACACTCTCAGCACTCCATTCTTTTCTTTATTTGTCATCCATCATTTTATTCTAGAAAAAGTAGAATCCTCAGAAATTTGCTCTAGGCATGGCTGACATTCTTTTCCAATGATACTACCTGCTTTGATGGAATCAGCCAAAGCAGGGTACTGTGTTTTTTTCTTCCCCTTTACTCTCTGTGGACCATAGTGATTGCCTGCTTTCTGGTCTCATATTCCTCATCCCTTCACCAATATCACCTCAGGAAGAGTTCTCAGTGCAACTTGGATATTTTTCTAGAAGTGTAGTTTCCAAACTTTACCAGAAATGTCATTTTTACATACAAAAGTATTACCTGGGCAGTTTGCTAAAAATTCAGGTTTCTGGAAGTCATCTGCAGAGTTTCTGATTTATTTGTATGGTGTAAAATAAGGGAATATAAATTTTAGCAATTATTTTACTGTAGGAGGTCCTTAGTACTTGGAGAAACATGATTCTACGCAGTGGGTAATCCTCTCTTCAGCTTCTGGTTGATGGGGCATTTCTGTAGTTTCCTTAGTAGATTCAGCACCTAGGCTACCTGTCTTCCTCTCCACAAAATAACCTATCATTCTCAGGGAATTTGGCATCCATGTTGGTGAGCCTTCTAAAACTCTAGTCTGTAATTTCTTCAAATCCTTCTTGATCACAGTCTTTAAAAGTTATATTTCAGATTTTGGCTTCATCTTGAATTGTTCTAACATTATACATTTTTACTTTTGAAAACATCCTCTTCATATAAAAACATTTTGTCCTAACTTTCTCACTTCCTGACTTTCAATAAGCTATATTACTCCCAATCAATAATAAGGTCTTCAGTCTTTCAAGCTGCCCTTATTTATCCAGTCAAGCAAGATAATAGAAATCTCCAATTATTCAGTGCCTACTGTGTGCTAGGCACTGTAGTCAGAGTTTAATAAACATCATTTTGCAAATATCCTATGAGGTTGTTACTAAACTCATTTTCCAGATGCTAGAGATTTAAGGAGATTAAATAATATACCCAAAGATACATAGTTTGTAAATAGAAAAAACTGGATTTAGAACTGTGTTTGTATGACTGCAAAACCATTACATGGACTCACATAGCTTTCTTTCTTGACTTAGATAAAAAGGCCAAGACACTAGTTTTTCTTGGCTCTCTAGGCTTTACATGGAAGTCATCCATTCTTGTCTATGTATCTTTACTTAACTATGCCTTTACTTTGGAATACTTTTCAAAACTAATGATTAAATCAAGATGCCAAATCTTCTTTTTTTGTATTTGAACACCATCTTGTTTTTCCTTCCACTTAGCACTTGCCATAGACTGTCTTCTGTGAGCTATTTATATACATGTTTCCCCTCAATCAGACTGTGAATTCTGGGAACAAGCAGCAGGATGTAATAAGAAGAGCTCTCTCTATGGAATCAGGCACACCTTGCTGCAGATCACAGTTTCAACCCTCTGACCATATGATCTTGACAAGATACAGTATCTCTAGTCCTTAGTTTATTATCCACCACAACTAATATTGTCTACCACACAGGGTCATGGTGAGGATTAAATAATATCTTGTATTTGATGTGCCTAGAAAAGCACCTTGAATATAGCTGCCACAATAAATTCTGAATTATAATCTTCCTGACACTGATTCCTGCTTCTCACCATCAATAGTAATGAACATAAAGGAGGTCACATGCATCACATACAGTGGAAATGTAGGAAACATAGACTATAACAGGAGCTCTAAAAACAGCTGCTTGCTGTTGAGCTGGTGTGAGAAAAAAAACCTACATTTCAAGGCCATTGTTAAGTTTAGTCCTTAAAAGGATATGTCTAAATTAGCCTTGACATATTTGTGCAATATTTCCTAAATAAATAAATAAACAAGGTTTTGACTTCATAAAGTTGAACAAAATATCTTCAATTTAATCACATTTCATTCAGTATATATATCTGAGTCAATAAGAACTAGAAGGCTTATGATTAAGTTCAAAGTTCATATCTCTTTTCCAACAAAGTATGCATGTGTAAAATTTATTATACCAAAGTTCCAGTCACATATCTATAGAAACTTCAAATGTTTTCCCGTAACTGAACATGTGATACTACTTGCAAAAGTCAGCCCTGGGTCTCTTATCAGGAGTGTCAATGCTGAGTTAATCATTTTGGGCCAAATAACAGAAAATAAACTACTTTTAAAACCATAAATTGAACACTTGTGAAGTCTTTATGAACCCACTGACAAATATCATGTAAACAATATTATACATAGATAATTTTATTCACCAGTTATGTGAGCTCTGTATGCCTATTATATCTGAGATTTCTTCTAAAAACAATAACATCATTTGGTCACTGTTTTATACTTATTTTCCAAGTAAAACAGAGGGAGTTATTTGTTATGAGTACATTACATGAATAACCCAGCTATAAATGAACATGGCTAGTTGGCCTACATGAAACTTTTCCTCAGTCAGGCAACTAACTTAAACTGACCCTCCAAAATGCATCTAGTTTTTCAATGCCAGATTCAATTTCTGCAGAAGATTGCATGTGTATATAAGGGTCCTACCCCTCTTTTCTGAACATTTTATGTTTTCCAAGGTTGTGACACTAGGCCAGATTATTCTTCTCTTGTTATCATGGACAAAACCCGCTGAAAGCCTGAAGCCAATATTACACATTGTTTCATGGTTGTTCAAGGGCAGAATGATACTCAGTTTCATAAGCAGACACCCTTTCAGTGTCAAGAGACAAGAGGATTTGTTAAAATTTGACTTAAAGCTAATAGTCTAAAGAGAATAATGCGGTCAAAATTCTACCCCTATTTGGGAAGACAAATCTTGTTTGTTTCTTCCATGGCTACAAGAACAATCCAGTTCCAGAGAAGATTATTTAGAACAGCAATGGTTTGCATTAGAAAGCTAGCCTTTAGGTACCTCTCTTTTTAAACTGTACTGATGGGCACATGCAAGTTATATTTTAAGGAAAGGAGGTTTTTGCATTTTAGGGGCAAGGTGAATGATCAAGAAGGGACAAGCTAACATTCTAAGGCTTAGAACATGACTGGATACATCTGAGATTATATGGATTGTACATTTAAATGTAGACATATCTAAAAACATGATAAATAATACTCTTATACAAAGAAATAATTGCTCTGGCACTTACCCAAATATATGCCTTAGTTCTGTAAGTTCTTTCTCTTTGATCTGCAGGTCATCTTCTAATTTTTCTATTATAACAGCATAAGATTCACTGACTTTCTTCTTCCATTCATCTAAGTAAAGAAAAACAAATGGGATCGATTCATATCTGTGCTTTGCAAAATGCAGACACAGATCATAACATACAGTAATTAAAACTCTTTTAGTATTATTCTACAATACTTAATTTAAATTACTGATTGTGAGTTTAAAATGCAGATGTTTATATTTAAAATGTAATCATATTGAATTGTAGTAATTAAGAACCCATTTGATATTGGATAATATATTTACATAGAAGAATATATTTGAGTTATTTAACTTGATTTTACTGCATTTTAATTATAGCAATCTCTAGTTTCTAGACAAGGCTCTTTAGGTTTTAAATACGAGATGTTAAGATATAATTCTAAAATCTCTATATTCAGCAGTATTCCAAAATTTTTTTCTGTAACATTATACTTAGGAACCAATATACTTTCATAAGAAATTTTCTGTTTTCTCTAAAGATCTTTCAGAGAAATAACTTTAGTTCAGATAATCTTCTTAACAGTTTCATATGATATACTGTCTTATCCTCTATATAAAAACTAACATATTCTGGTTTGTTACAGAAATGATAATTATCTGCAACTACTATTGAGTCATGTTACATTTAAGGATAGGAGAATAATTACCAGTGCAAGTCTGAGTTGGTCTAGATTTATAATTTCCCATTTGTGAGATGTTTCTTCTTTTCCCCAGTGCAGTTCCTCAGGTTACAAGATTCCAAGTTCAAGTGCAGTGACAGTACAGTTGAAAAATACTTTGATAGTCTGGCTAAAAATAAGCCAACTGCCAAATGGAATGTCATGCAACAGTGACAAAGAACAAATGGTTTGTGCTTTCAAGGGTGAAATAATAAAGGGAACTAATCAGTCTGTTTAAAAGAGCTGTATCAAAAATAAATAATAAATGTTTCAATAGGTTTATTTGCTTCCATCAATTAATTATCTACACATACATACCTTAATGGGCCATTTCCTTAATAGGTAAATCTAGAAAAGGGTTTATTTGCATCTGAGGTTCACAAAGTGCTACTAAAACTGTCTAGATCTTCTTTCAGGATCATTTTCTCCTGAGCCAAAGTAATGACAATTGGAAAGAAATGACTGGTGATAGATTTTGTCTCATATATAAATAATGAAATCACACATCCCATGGCATGCTACTAACAGAAATAAGTCTATGTTTTGCCTATATTACAAATACAAAATTCTCTTTGTAAGAAGAAATTCTCAACATAGACTGTGACTAATTGATACCACTTGTTGATTGCTGACCATAAGAATCATAGATAAGTATCTGAGACACTGAGGTTTACAAATAGCAATTCATAAAATAACAATGACAAGAATAATCAGGTTGGGAATACTATAATTGAATATGTCTGCAATGTGCCAGACACTAGTCTAAGTGCTTTATATGCATTTTGCCATTTATACCGATGCAATCCTTCAAGCTTTATGTTATTACCATATTGCAAATGAGAAAATCCAAATGTGCTAGCAGGTTAAAGACTCTGAAATCAATTTTGGTTCTATGATTCTGAAGTTCAAGATAGATATTATTATTATTGATAAGTCTCCCATAATTTCTCTTTCATTCACCTTTCATTTACTTCATGGGGGAATTTCTTTTTTTTTTTTTT